GGTCACGTTGTTCACCAAAGCACCAGAGGGAAGGATGAGAAACAATGGTTGGAAGCTGATCAAAGAGAGAAGCAACCTGGAATTAAGGAGAAATTTCCTGACAGTGAGGACAATCAACCAATGGAACAGCTTTTGCCTCCAGAAATCGTGGGCGCTCCATCACTGGAGGTTTTAAAGAAGAGACTAGACAATCACCTGTCTGAGATGGTAGAGGTTCTCCTGCTTGAGCAAGGGGCTGGACTAGAAGACCTCCAAGGTCCCTTCCAGCTCTATTCTATTCTATTCTAAAACATAAGGAACTATTGTAGACCTTGCATTGTGTCTTCTCATATTGAAAGTATTGCTTTTGCTAGAATATTTTCAAAAAACTCTTCTTTTTGGAAAGTCCTGGCAAAATAATGCATAACATCTTAAACTTGTACCTGCCACAAAAATTTCAGCTAGTCTGGGTAAAAATTGCATTGTAGGAAATGATTCTTCCTAGGGTAGGCAACCTTGGCTCTTTTATGACTCGTGGACTTCAACTCCCAGAATTCCTGAGCCAGCCACAATCCCAATCACGCTGTGTCTCATGGGTTTTGCTACCAAATAGCAATAATCAGAAGGGACCATTCTTAATTTCAGATTTAAGCTCTAAACCAGGTTCCCGAGTCCGTTAACTTAGTTTCCACATCTTTGGCAAAGATCCACACTAACTGGGAAAAAAAAAACCCCTTCAGGTAGAATTTAAGGCTTTATGTTGTAGCTGTTTAGCATTTCCTCAAATGGCTCCTGTGGTAAAAAAAAAGTCTTCCAAAGAAGTTTCTTTGCTGATCATGTTCCTTCTTGAGCTGTTATTAGACATGCTGCAGCAGGCGCCTGCTCCAATTTGGACTTGGTTATTAGCCCCCAATCTACAAAAATATGCCCAAAGGCACATTATCTGGAGCAACCAGGGGTAATTAATTCATGGGAAAATGAACATCGATATCTACCTTTTCTACCGAAAGTAATGCATATGTAGAATGACACAACAGAGGTCTTCTAGTCCAACCCCGTGCTCAAGCAGGAGACCCTATACCAGGGGTGGAGACCCTTGGCTCTTTTATGACTTGTGGACTTCCAGAATTCCTGAGCCAGCATGGGGGAACTATGGCCACCTCATGACTTGTGGACTTCAACTCCCAGAATTCCTGAGCCAGCATGGCTCAGCTTGGAAACCTCTCCCTTCTCCCTCAGCGTGGCTGGCTCAGGAATTCTGGGAGTTGAAGTCCACGAGTCATAAAAGAGCCAAGGTTGCCCACCCCTGCCCTATATCAGAGGTCCTCAACCTTGGCAACTTTAAAACCTCTGGACTTCAACTCCCAGAATTCCTCAGCCAGCATGGCTCAGCATGGAAACCTCTCCCTTTTCCCTCAGCGTGGCTGGCTGAGGAATTATGGGAGTTGAAGTCCACGAGTCATAAAAGAACCCAGGTTCCCCACCCCTGCCCTATATCAGGGGTCTTCAACCATGGCAACCTTTAAGACTTGTTAAGAATTCCTGAGCCAGCAAAGCTGAGGGGAAAGGGAGAGGTTTCCAAGCTGAACCACACTGGCTCAGGAATTCTGGGAGTTGAAGTCCACGAGTCATAAAAGAGCCAAGGTTGAGGACCCCTGCCCTATACCATCCCAGACAAATGGCTGTCCAGTCTCTTCCCAAAAGCCTCCAGGGATGGAGCACCCACAACCTCTGAAGGCAAATTGTTCCACCGATAAATTGTTCCCACTGTCAGGAAATTTCTCCTTAGTTCTAGATTGGATCTTTCCTGCTCCCCCCTCCAGGGATTCCATCCCAGTGATTATCATGCAATTTCCCCCCTCAGAAATAGGATGAAATTGGTTTATCATTCTCCCCCCCCCCCCAATCTTGGACTTCTCAATTTAGTATACCACCCTCAGGTATCCTAGTACAGGCACTCCTAAATCATTCATTTAGTGACCGCTTGAAGTTATAACGGCACTGAAAACAGTGACTTATGACCGTTTTTCACACTTGCGACCGCTTAGCTTCCCCCTTTAGCTTCCCGTCCCCCAGAAGTTTTTCAAAACACAAGGTGAGCAGGTCAGTAGTGCTTTAACGTCCACCTGAATCTAGCGCCACGCAAACAGCGCATCGGTTCCCCCCATAAACTGTGCTGCAAATTGCACATTCCAATTTCAAATTTTATTACTTTTTTTTGTTTGTTTTTTACTTCAGTCGATAGGAGCTTCTCTAAAGCAAAAAGTCGATATAAAATTGAGTGTATCTAATACAATGCATCTCTTGAAGCCATTGGGGGGAATACTAGCTCATTCCAACTATAAAACATTTTATTACCTACAAATCATCACGTTACCATCTCAAAATGGTGCCTCATCGAGTCCAGATTACAAAAATAATAAAAAAAGGGTTTTTCTCTGTGTGTGTGAAAACAGCACGAAATATATATATATATATTTTTGCACTATGGGAATCAGTCTTTTTAAGTTTCCATTCCTCAAACGTCCTCGGTCAAAGCTGATGCCGTCTTCATCCCAGAAAACTGGAAAACCCTTCGCATATTCCAACAAACCCTGAGTATATAGTGCAATAAGTACAAAGGTCAGATTCATCCTCAACAGTCCGGCTGGCCACGTTTTAAAAAAGGAAAAAATAAAAAATAAAGGTGTGGGGTGGGGGGTGGAGAGAAAAGCAACAATCCCGGATTGGCATTTTATTGCGGCTAGGCCAGGGGTAGGCAACCTTGGCTCTTTTTATGACTCGTGGACTTCAACTCCCAGAATTCCTGAGCCAGCCAAGCTGAGGGGAAAGGGAAAGGTTTCCAAGCTGAGCCATGTTGGCTCAGGAATTCTGGGAGTTGAAGTCCATGAGTCTTAAAGTTGCCAAGGTTGAGGACCCCTGATATAGGGCAGGGGTGGGGAACCTTGGCTCTTTTACGACTCGTGGACTTCAACTCCCAGAATTCCTGAGCCAGCCACGCTGAGGGGAAAGGGAGAGGGTTCCAAGCTGAGCCACGCTGGCTCAGGAATTCTGGGAGTTGAAGTCCACGAGTCATAAAAGAGCCAGGGTTGCCTACCTTAGGCCTAGGCCACTTTCTGACTCGTGAACTTCAACTCCCAGAATTCCTGAGCCAGCATGGCTGAGCATGAAAACCTTCTCCCTTTCCCCTCAGCGTGGCTGGCTCAGGAATTCTGGGAGTTGAAGTCCACGAGTCATAAAAGGGCCAAGGTTGCCTACCCGTTGGTCCTAGGCCAAAGGCAGTTCTTTGGAAGAAAGAGAAAGTTTAACGGTGCTTCCTTAGAAAAAGTGAGGTAGCCCAACTGGGAAAGAAAGCGAAAGTCCAAGACTTCAGCAAATTTGCATTATTATTATTATTATTATTCCCCTCCCTCCCCCCCCCCTTCGGGCAAGAATGCGATCCGGACGTATCAATTCCCCGTTTCTCTGGCTAGATTCGGCGGGCAAAGCCACCAACGAAAGACGGGGAGACTAGGGGAAAAAAACAAAAACAAAAACAAAAAAAAGGGGGGCGGCGGGTGGCAGCCCCCGTCTCGGCCCTTTTTAAAGTGCAGCGCCCGGTCTCTTCTAAAAAAAAAAAAAAAAAAANTCATTCCAACTATAAAACATTTTATTACCTACAAATCATCACGTTACCATCTCAAAATGGTGCCTCATCGAGTCCAGATTACAAAAATAATAAAAAAAGGGTTTTTCTCTGTGTGTGTGAAAACAGCACGAAATATATATATATATATTTTTGCACTATGGGAATCAGTCTTTTTAAGTTTCCATTCCTCAAACGTCCTTGGTCAAAGCTGATGCCGTCTTCATCCCAGAAAACTGGAAAACCCTTCGCATATTCCAACAAACCCTGAGTATATAGTGCAATAAGTACAAAGGTCAGATTCATCCTCAACAGTCCGGCTGGCCACGTTTTAAAAAAGGAAAAAATAAAAAATAAAGGTGTGGGGTGGGGGGTGGAGAGAAAAGCAACAATCCCGGATTGGCATTTTATTGCGGCTAGGCCAGGGGTAGGCAACCTTGGCTCTTTTTATGACTCGTGGACTTCAACTCCCAGAATTCCTGAGCCAGCCAAGCTGAGGGGAAAGGGAAAGGTTTCCAAGCTGAGCCGTTGGCTCAGGAATTCTGGGAGTTGAAGTCCATGAGTCTTAAAGTTGCCAAGGTTGAGGACCCCTGATATAGGGCAGGGTAGGGAACCTTGGCTCTTTTACAACTCGTGGACTTCAACTCCCAGAATTCCTGAGCCAGCCACGCTGAGGGGAAAGGGAGTGGGTTCCAAGCTGAGCCATGCTGGCTCAGGAATTCTGGGAGTTGAAGTCCACGAGTCATAAAAGAGCCAGGGTTGCCTACCTTAGGCCTAGGCCACTTTCTGACTCGTGAACTTCAACTCCCAGAATTCCTGAGCCAGCATGGCTCAGCTTGGAACCCTCTCCCTTTCCCCTCAGCGTGGCTAGCTCAGGAATTCTGGGAGTTGAAGTCCACGAGTCATAAAAGAGCCAAGGTTGCCCACCCCTGGTGCTAGGCCAAAGGCAATTCTTTGGAAGAAAGTTTAACGGTGCTTCCTTAGAAAAAGTGAGGTAGCCCAACTGGGAAAGAAAGCGAAAGTCCAAGACTTCAGCAAATTTGCATTATTATTATTATTCCCCTCCCTCCCCCCCCTTCGGGCAAGAATGCGATCCGGACGTATCAATTCCCCGTTTCTCTGGCTAGAGTCGGCGGGCAAAGCCACCAGCGAAATACGGGGAGACTAGGGGGAAAAAAACAAAACAAAAAAAAAGGGGGCGGCGGGTGGCAGCCCCCGTCTCGGCCCTTTTTAAAGTGCAGCGCCCGGTCTCTTCTAAAAAAAAAAAAAAAAGGACGACGCCGTCCCAGCCCCAAAAACGAGGATGTGTAAACGGGCGGGCTGACACGGGTCTTCCTGGGTCTTCTGAAGCCGTCTCTCCTCCTCCCCCGGGCTCGTGAGGAAGAAGGCCCCTCTCTTAGCAGCAAGGCAGGCCCGGGATCCGGCGCAGCTTCACCACGGGCGTCAGGTTGACCCGCAAGAGGCGCTGGGCCTGCCGCCGGGCCGCTTCCAAGTCGCGCCGCTTCCAGATGTCGCCGCGCACCCGGACCGGGGGGAAGGAAGCCGCCGCTACAGCCGCCCTCCGGCTTTCCTCGGGGACCCCGCCGTCCCCCTCCAAACGCGTCCGTGGCGGGTCTGGCCGCCCCCCCTCGCAAGGCCGGGGCTCGTCGGGGGCCGTCGGGGCGGCGCTCAGCCCGTCCTGCCGGCGCTTCTTGGCCGCTCGCTTGGCGCCTCCCGCTCGCCGGCTCTTGGCGTCGCTTCGCGGGCGTTTCCCCTTGTTGGCGGCTCCTCCTCCTCCTCCTCCTCCTCGCCTGCTGCCGCCGCTGGGCCCGGGGCCGGCCCGTGTCCCCGCCGCCCAGCCCCGGGGCAGCTCCGGCACGACGGCGCGGCACGAGGCGTAGCCGTAGACGTCCTTGCTGCGGAGGATGACCGGCGAGAACTCGTGCTTGAGGCTGCAGAGGAAGTCCCAGAGCTCGGCGTCGGAGCTCATGAAGGCCGTCGAACGGGGCACCAGCAGCTTCAAGGCGTCGCCCAGCGCTTTGGTGCCGCTGCCGAAGAGGGCCTGCGAGCGCGAGTGCACCACTTTCTCCGAGGCCGCCGGGGCTGCGGGGGCCGGAGGCAGCCCCGCTGCCGCCTTCCCTCCTCCTCCTCCTCCTCCTCCTCCGCCGCCTCCCGCCGGCTTCATCCCGGCTCTAGCGCCACGGCGGCGGCGGTGGCTGTTGCTGCTGCTGCTGGCTCGCGTCCTCTCCAGCGCCGCCAGCGGCCGGCCAGCAGCTCCTGCGAGCTAGGACTTCGCTGCAGCGATACCAGCCCTTCTTCTCCTCCTTCTCTCCTTTCTCCTCCTCTTCTTCTTCTTCCTCCTCCCCGCCGAGAGTCACTTTCTTTTCTCCCTTCTCGATTTCTCTTTGGGGCGCAACTTCTGCGCTGCAACAGGGCGGGCGGGCGGAGGCGCCCAGCGATGCACCACGCCCTCCTCCTCCTTCTCTTCTTCTTCTTCTTCTTCTTCTTCCTCCTCCTCTTCTTCCTCCTCCTCCTGCCCGACGGCCGGCACAAAATGGAGTTCTTTTTAAAGCCCCTGCGGGGAGGTTGCTGAGCTTCACGCCTATCCGGAGCCTTGGCTTGAGTGGATTGGCCCGTTTGAATTGCGTCACGGCGGAGAAGCCCCGCCCCTGGAGGAGCAGAGCCCCTCGGAAACTCCGAGGAGTAAGGAGGTGGTGGTTTGAGGAGGGATCCGGAGTTACTGGCCTGCTTTGATCAGCTTGGCTTCTTCTTCTTCCTCCTCCTCCTCCTCCTCCACCTCCTCCTCCTCCTCCTCCTCCTCTTCTTCTTCTTCTTCTTCTTCTTCTTCTTCTTCTTCTTCTTCTTCTTCTTCTTCTTCTTCTTCTTCTTCTTCTTCTTCTTCTTCTTCTTCTTCTTCTTCTTCTTCTCCTTCTCCTTCTCCTTCTCCTCTTTCCTTCTTCTTCTTCTTCTTCTTCTTCTTCTTCTTCTTCTTCTTCTTCTTCTTCTTCTTCTTCTTCTTCTTCTTCTTCTTCTTCTTCCTCCTCCTCCTCCTCCTCCTCCTCCTCCCCCCAAGGAGCCAGCAGAAGGCCTTCCTGGGAGGATGGGGATGTGGGGTTGCGGAGTGGCCCTCTGGGGTTCCAACAAAGCGGGGGGGATCTGGAGGAAGAGCCAGAAAACACCCTCCTTTTCCAGCTTGTAATCCGATCCGCAGTTCCTAGGAAGTTGGAGGGGTTGGCTTTGGAGTCAACCTTGGGGGTTTTAGGTTCTGCCCCAATGAGGCCTAAGCTTCGCTCTGTTCCAGGGGTCTCCAAACTGGGCAACTTTTAAGACTTGTGGACTTCAACTCCCAGAATTCCCCAGCCAGGTCTCCAAACTGGGCGTCTTTAAGACTTGTGGACTTCAACTCCCAGAATTCCCCAGTCAGGTCTCCAAACTGGGCGTCTTTAAGACTTGTGGACTTCAACTCCCAGAATTCCCCAGCCAGGTCTCCAAACTGGGCGTCTTTAAGACTTGTGGACTTCAACTCCCAGAATTCCCCAGCCAGGTCTCCAAACTGGGCGTCTTTAAGACTTGTGGACTTCAACTCCCAGAATTCCCCAGTCAGGTCTCCAAACTTGGCAACTTTGTGGACTTCAACTCCCAGAATTCCCCCAGTCATGCTTAAGTCTTAAAGTTGCCAATTTTGGAGATCCCAAGTGCTCTACTCCGGGACACTTTCTATGGTGAGATCGCGATCTAAGACCGAGGTGCAGCCAATCCAAAGTAAATTATGAGTGCCCAGCTAATTCACTTAGAACAGGGGTAGTCAACCTTGGCTCTTTTATGACTCGCGGACTTCAATTCCCAGAATTCCTGAGCCAGCTTAGCTGGCTCAGGAATTGTGGGAGTTGAAGTCCACGAGTCATAAAAGAGCCAAGGTTGCCTACCCCTGACTTAGAACAAGGGTGTCAAACTGCCGGCCGGCGAGCTGATTGCCTCATGTGGAGGCCGTGCCCACTCCAGTTCCGGCAGTGCAAAAAAAAAAAAAAGTTGTGATACGTCGCAACACGTCACATGACGCTGCGAGTTTGACACCTATGACTTAGAAGATCCACCCTATGTGAACGGGGTTATTTCGGAAGAACGCAAACTTTGTTTCGAAATGCCCTGGCACGGGACGTAGGTACAGCGTGTTCTTAGTTCTTACAACTAAGCCTTATCAATTCTCACAGCTCTTTGGCGGGTTATAAATTAACTCCTGGACTTGAAGAGACATTAAGGCCCTGTACAATTTGAAATTGGGGCTGTGGAATTGCAATCTGTGCTACTTCAAACGTGACATTTCCTTTCCCAGAAAACTCAACATCTCAATCTGGGTGAATCTGAGGATATACTTTGTCAACTGCAAATTAGAAGGCTAGTCTCCATGATGCATGTTCAATAAGTTTTAAGCTCTTTGGTGTTGCAGTGTTTCATGGACTTGCCCCCCCCCCCCCAAAAAAAATCATCCTAGGTCAGGGGTAGGCAACTTTAAGACTCGTGGACTTCAACTCCCAGAATTCCTGAGCCAGCATGGCTCAGCATGGAAACCTCTCCCTTTCCCCTCAGCGTAGCTGGCTGAGGAATTCTGGGAGTTGAAGTCCACGAGTCATAAAAGAGCCAAGGTTCCCCACCCCTGCCCTATATTAGGGGTCCTCAACCTTGGCAACTTTAAGACTTGTGGACTTCAACTCCCAGAATTCCTGAGCCAGCATGGCTCAGCTTGGAAACCTCTCCCTTTCACCTCAGCGTGGCTGGCTCAGGAATTCTGGGAGATGAAGTCCACGAGTCATAAAAGAGCCAAGGTTGCCTACCCCTGTCCTAGGTCTTTCCTCAGCTATCCCTTTACCAGATCCGTTGAAGGTCGGGATTTCAGCCAACGTGGAAGAACTTTCTTAGGTACAGCTTAATAAGAACTTTCTTAGGTACAGCTCCTGTTTGCTCTACTGGATAATCCAGATAGTCCACAAGAAAGTTAATACTGCCCTTATTGAGATTATAACATTCAGTCCTAGGGCTGGATGGGACCTCGGAGGTCTTCTAGTCCAACCCCCTGCCCAAGGCAGGAGACCTTACACCAGGGGTAGGCAACCTTGGCTCTTTTATGACTCGTGGACTTCAACTCCCAGAATTCCTGAGCCAGCCATGCTGAGGGGAAAGGGAGAGGTTTCCATGCTGAGCCATGATTTAGGAAAAATCAAATGCAAAGGTACAGGACTGCTACACCTAGTTTACACCTGAGAAGGATCTAGGGCCTGGCCTATCAATCGACCACCAGCTGAACAGGAGCAAGCAGTGTGACAGCAACTGAAAAGGTTATTGGAATCCTATGTGTTAGTTCAGTAGAAGTATTGCATTAAGGCAGTGCTTTTTTCTAAAAAAAAAAAAAAAAAAAAAAGTGCCAGAACTCACACACGTCATACAACCCGCCTTGCCTACCCTACAAGGTTCCATCCAAAAAAGGTGCTGGAACTCCGTTCTGGGCGTTCTATGACAAAAAAAGCCCTGCATTAAGGTAACAGGAGACAATACCTCCATTGTATTCTATACTGTTTATAACACGCTGTGTTGAATTCTGGGCAAAGACAGTTTAAAAAGGACTTTAAGAAGCTGGAACAGGTCCAGACGACTGCAAATAGAATGGAATGGAATGGAACGGAATCTGGAAGGGACTTTGGAGGTCTTCTAGTCCAGCCCCTTGCTCAAGCAGGAGAACCTATACCTATACTAGGATGAAAGCGGTTTGGAAAGGACCCTTAAATGTGTAGGAGAAGGAATGGCAGAACTGGGGGGAGAGTTAAAAGAGGGATCAACCTAGAATCCCTACATAGCCACAAGCAAGTCCAATTTCCTTTGAATGCTACTGGCCCTTATCTAACGTAACCAGGTGCCGGTTAAGTTGAGAAGATTCCTGTATATAGGCTTGTAGCAATATGTTTTACTGGACCTTCATGTGTGGACCTGATCTTTCAGGCCTAAAAAAAAGGAGATGGACATACTCAACTTGCAAAGGTCAACAGAATTTGACAAGTTAATAGCATATTAAAAAAAATACCGTAGTATAGTTTACGATGTTCATCAATGCAATCAAACTGCGACTGGTTTTACAAGCAATGTAGCATACTTTGGCTCTGTTTACAGGAACTGGATCATCCTGGTCTGATAATCACAGCTGAACCTAGAAAAATGAGAATTGTCTGGGTCCTTGGTGAAATAAGGAGTTACAAGGCAGGTCCTTGCATCCTTATAAAAATGTAATATAAAAACGAACAAACTGCCGATTCCATAAAGCCTTCAGATTGTAAAGAAGAAGAAGAAGAAGAAGAAGAAGAAGAAGAAGAAGAAGAAGAAGAAGAAGAAGAAGAAGAAGAAGAAGAAGAAGAAGAAGAAGAAGAAGAAGAAGAAGAAAGCTAAGGAAGAGAAGATAAAGGCCTACAAATTTCTAAAAAAAAATAAACCCTTGTCACTGTCATGGGTGGAACTTATTCTCTGTTGAAAATAAGAGCAGGACGGTAAAATTGCTGAAATTAAAAGAATGGAAATTCAAGTCGGGAATTTCTTATTGCAGGAGTTGTTAAGCAATGGAACCTTCAGTCTGGATCATTGGTAGCTTCTCCTAAGAGTTGTAGGTTCACAAAGGGGTTGGAAAGTCACTTATCAGTTTTGGGTTTGGTCAATTTCTGCACAGAGCAGAAGCTGGATTAGATAGGTAGCCTACAGTTCTTTCCTCCTATTATCTTTGGTGCCCAACAATGTATAATTACTAGGGCTTTGTAGTCTAGAAGAGAAGTGGGATCGACAAAGATAACGAAAGTATGGTTGGCATGGAATTATGGCCTCAAAATGGCGGAATATGAGGGTTATCTAATAATAACAATGGGCAGCTGGTTCAAGATAAAGGAACTGCCATTTCATTGTGCTCCTAGATTAATTTCAGGAAAGTGTTGATTCATTTTTGAAAACCGATATGAAGTTTGGGAAATTGTGATTATTATTTTTTTGAAATTGCAATTATTCATTTTTGGAAATTGTGATTGGTTTTGGGGAATTGCAATTCATTTCTGGAAATTGCGATTAATTTTTTTTGGAAATTATGGAAGAATTTATGGAAGAACGTTTTTCAGAAGGAATTAGTGGAGGATAATAAGGCTAACAAAGAGTATGGGG